GTGGCACAGATCCCACTCCGGATCCCAGTGACAGACTTCATTGTTCTAGACAAGCTGCTGCCGATGTGTGGGTTGAGGTTGTTGGGCCGGAGGTTAGGGTACTGGCTTTATGAGGTCTTAATGCCTGCCCTTTCTTTCTGCCCGAGTCTCTGGCCCTGCTTTTTCCGCACACGTAACTGTCTGCTTTTGCTGGTGTTTTTCTTTTCTTTTCTTTTTTTTGTATTAGGTATGCTGTAGTTTGTGGAGTCTATTGTTGTTGTTGTTGTTTTGAGGAAGAGCTTCTCTGCATAGCCCTGGCTGCTCTGGAACTAGCTCTATAGATCTGTCTACCTCTGCCTCCCAAGTGCTGAGTGTGTGCCACTAACCGCCCTACTAGATTATGGAGTCTTACATCCAAGTTATACGCACAGTAAACTACATGGAGCTCTCCCCATCCAGACAGCTTGACGCATAACTCTAAGTGAGGCATTCACCCCAGGTACTTCGTTTCCTACACAGATCTTAACATGGGGTGTGGGTGGACAGATAGTAAAGTTGGAACAACACAAAACCCAGAGGGAACATACAAGGAAAATATCAGAAGTTCAATCCAGGAGGGAGAAAACGAAGCAGAGTTTGTGAGAGCCAAGTGGTGCCTGGCCAGCCAGCCTGTCGATGAGGGGTCTGTCCTCAGCCCAGGCACACACCCTAAAAGAAGAGGTGTTTCGACACGTGAAATGACAGTTCTGATGCCGCCAAGACTGAGCAAGGACATCAGATGACTCTCAGGAGATGGTGAAGCGAGGTGACCCATGGCTGGCACAGGAGAGGTGGTAGTTGGGAGGAGGCAGAGCAAGGCAGCCTGAGAGAGCCTGTGTAAACAGTTGAACTTGAACGGTTGGGTCTGGGCTGTAAGCGAGACATGTCTCTACCTGGCTCTAGGGAAACCTCGGTGGTGGGGCTGCAGGAAAAGGGATTGAGCATGCTCCATTATCATTCTGCAAGTCCCTCCTTCCCCCAAAACATCACCTTATTTTATAGTTGCAACATGTGTTAGTAGTGTCCCCTTCATGTGACGGGAGACAAGGGAATGTGTGTTCAGGACAATCAGTGGGGACTGTGTGATAGAAGGGGAGACAGAACCTGGGGCCAAAGTCCCTAGCCATTCCCCAAGCTCAAAGGGTCTCCATCTGTTATCAACATCACCCCCAAAACTGACTTAAAATGACAAGCACCCGCTCCTCACAACGTGTTTAGTTAAGAGCTCAGAAGTAGCTTTAGCATTTCCAGCTACGAGTTTTTGATGATACTGTTTGATCTGGGCCAGGGTGTGGCCCTCCAAAAGGGAGGCTGCAGGATCCATCTGCAAGGCGTTTTAGCCCCCACATGGCTGACAAGCGGTGCTGGTTGCTGCGAGGGCCCCTCAGTTCCTGCCCACGCGGGTCTTTCCCCCCAAGCTACTTGACTACTTGACTGGTGGTTCCAGAGAGGTGGAGAAAAAAGAAGAGGATCTTTTTATGGTCTCGCACTAGACAGCACCTAGCATCACTACTGACTCAGCACAGGACCAGTTAAACGCCAATCAACAATCCCAGCCCACATCCAAGGGTAAGGGGGTGTTGCAGGCCATCTTCTGCTGAGAGGAAGAACAACCTCTTTCTCTACTACTCCTTCACACCAGCTTCTGCTAACTGTCAACAGAGAACCACAGGGAGTGGGAGGGGCATCATGAGCCCCACCCCCTTGGAACTGTTAACTGCCTCTAAAGTCACTGGGTAAGGGCAAGGGACTCAAGTATCCTTCTCCCTAACTGTTAACTGTCTGTAAATCCTCAGGGAGGGGCAGTCTTGTGGGCCCCTCTCTGGCTCCATGATAGGTTGTTTCGTGAGCTGACTTAGTTTTGTTTTGTTTCCTAGACAGGATTTCTCTGTAGCTTTAGAGTCTGTCCTGTAACTCGCTCTGTAGATCAGGCTGGCCTCGAACTCACCTGCCTCTGCCTCTCGAGGGCTGGGATTGAAGGCATGTGCCACCATCACCCAGCTCTTGTGCAGGTCTTCTCAGAGCTGCTGAGAGTTCAGGATGCAGCTGACATGTCGTATCCAGAGGACAGCTTTCCTCAAAGCCACTTAGACTCTATGTTGCTCATTTTTTTTACAAATCAAGTTTTCAGTAACGGTTATAATTTTCTACCCCCCAAAAGGATACGGCGAGCGTTCCCCCTCCTTTACACATGAGGTTAGGAGCATCGACTGCTTGTAAGCAGAATCCGGAGTCACTGCCCTCAGTTCCGAAGTTTCCACATTTGAGGGAAGAGGATGCTAGACACCGTCTCTTGAAAGAGTCAAGGAATTTGTGGGCCTATTTTTAAACTGCCTGGGTGCAGGAAAAGCACCCTTTTTTTCTGCCACCTCACTGATTCTCAGGACTTCTGACACCAGCTGGAGAGGGGCACACCACGCAACTTTCTAGCTCTCTGGAGACACCAGCTACGGGTCCTAGACTCAGCTGGACTTAGCTCTACTGGAGTTAGCTAGTGCCAGACTGCTCAGATAAGGGCTCGGCTCGCCCGCAGTCCCTGTTCAGATGGCAGTCACAGTCCAGGTTGTCACTAGTGCATCCTACCAGCCTGACGACCACCTCAGGAAGACCCCTTGCTAGGATGACTCAGAGCCCAGGAAAACAGTTTCCTTCCTACTGCTGACAAAGAATTCTGGGGAGCAGTGAACAGCCAGGGGAAGAGGTGCATAGGTGAGGAGCAGGGAAGGCTCCGGGAGCATGGTGCTGGGGGCAGAACATTCCTTCCCTGTGTTCATCGACCCAGAACCATTGTGATCCCTGTTTGGGGACTTTTATGGAACCCTTCATCATACAAGCCTGACTGACTTTTGAGACATGGTATTACTTTTAGCCCAGGCTGGCCCAGAATTGGTAAACCTGCATCCTCAGCATTCTGAGAGTGGAGGGGTTCCAGTGTGTGTCCCCATACCTGTTTGTGCCCACCTCCTTACCTCTCACCAGGACACATGGACTGAAGCCGACTATCTCAGGCATGCAGTTGTGGCTTGTTCTTCCTGATGACTAACCTTCACCCAGAAGCCCACCAAAAGTGACCTTATCCAAACAAATGGTGCTCTGACCACAGTGAAAGTGTCCAGGTGATTTAGGAGCTCTGTGGCAGCAGCTGGGGAGCAGGTACCAAATTCGTGTTTCCTGACATGGCACATTCCCTCAGACAAGAAACCAGAAGCCATTATTAACATTTCAAACTAAATAGACTATTTTAATTTCTTTAGTATATAACGTTAGAGTGTCCTTGTTTATTACAGTAAATCAATTGTACGAAAGAATGGGCTTCGTTATGACTTTCTGCTTTATTTTATTGCTGACGATGTGCACCAGCTGTGCATGGTTTGTGCATGTGGATGCAGGTGTCCACAGAAGCCCCAGGAGGGCATCGCATCCCCCTGGGGCTGGAGTTAAAGATGGTTGCAAGCCACCTGGCATGAGTGCTGAGCGCTGAGCTTTGCTCTGGGTAAAAGCAGCGCATGGTCTTTGGTCACCAGGCCATCTCTCCAGCCCCTTGGATAACACACTCTGATGGCACTCGCCTCCTCCACCGCCAGGTCATCTCTCCCCACCGGAGTTCCTACTCCCCTTCTGCAGAAGTCTGTCTTCTACTTTCGTGTCTCCAAAGGGATCTCGTCCAAGCGCTTGGTGCTTTTTGCTGAAGGTGCTGGGGTGGTGACAGCTGGTGAGGGGCTGTACCTCTTAGCTTTCAGGTTCCTTTGTCACAGCTGCTTTCCAGAAAGTCAAGGAGCCGGGTCTTTTGGAACACTGCTAGGGTCACTGTAGTCTCGTGGTCCCCGGAGGGGGGAATGTCCAGGTGGCATCTGGAGGTGCGCATCACGACGGCAGAGGAGGAATCAGATGGCAGCCATCTCTTCTCTCCCTAATGCATCTCACACACGGGCACATTACCAGCAACACGTCTGGCCAGGAAGTCAAGGAGTGTGTGCTTCCTGGGTTTCCCGGACCTGTACAGAATGAAGTGGCAATATCCACTGGGTTGGTCCCACTCTGTACCACACCTCTACATCCAGGTGTGATGAGAAAAACCCCACTTGTACATGAAGGTGCCCTGGTACCTACCACACTTTGGGCAGACAAATGGATGTTCAAGGCTCTGGAAGAGTAGGGAGGCCCACAAAGAGTTACATGGTGGAGGCCTAACTGTCAGAGACCCAGTGTCACTCTAGCCAGTTAGCAGGTAAGGTGGTGACTCCTGAGATGCCTGGGATGGATCCGTAGTTTACTCTCTGTAATGAAGGGCAGATGATCTGCAGGCCACTGGGGGCGGGGAGAGCGTCTATAAACAAGTGCCCCTTCTTCAGACACTGTCTGCGCAGGGCCTTGTGCTTGTTAGGATGCTAGGCAAGATTTCCCTCCTGCACTGCCCTTTGACGTGGACAGCACTGGGCTACTTATTTAAGCTGTGGGTTATTCCCACCTCCCCTTCCCAGCCTCCTGACTCCCTTCCGAAATCAGTCTCCAAGACAGAGAGATGTATTTATCAAGCCTTGCACACTCACTTTTACTATCAACTACTAACCACAAGTTAGGTAGGTGGCAAAGGTTCCCTGGTCTCTTCCATGCTGGAGGTCATCTGGGAGAGGAGTAGGTGAGGGGTGGGACAGAACAGTCAGTACAAGGAATGATGGTGTCGTTAAGTCTGACAGGGAGGCCAGGGTCCCACCTTCCAGCTGCCCCACACAGGCAACATTGCCCAGATGGACACCCACCTTGTAGCTTAGGGCCTCTTACCAGGCCCCGCAAGCTCTGACTCCTAATGTCTTGGGGTGAAGCTCTGTCATTTTGAGACCTGGACAATAGGAGAGAGGGGAACACACCCTAGTCCCCAACCCTTGGAGTCGTGGTGGGACTTGAAGGCTACAGTAGAGATGGAACGAGGATAAAGTGGAGGATTTCTGTAAAATGGTGGCAGTGAAGGAGGGTCTGGTGCCATGCTGTGGAGAGTTTGGGACCTGCAGCTGAAGGAAACTGGGATTTTGGTCTGCAGATGCTATGAAAGCTTCAGAGGAAAGCAGATTCCCAAGGAAGATGCAGCAGTAAGGCAGACCAGGAGCCAGCCAGAGAGCTCAGTGCATCAAGGCTCAGCCAGGGAGTTCAGTCCTGAGTTCAGTCCCAGGAATCTACATGGTAGAAAACAACCCAGCCCCTACAAACTGTCTATTTCCCTCCACATGCATACAGTGGCACGTTCCCTTCTCTCTCTCTCTCTCTCTCTCTCTCTCTCTCTCTCTCTCTCTCTCACACACACACACACACACACACACACACACCAAATTTCACTTTAAGCGTTCACTTTGGCAATATGTATAGTAAAATTAGAAAGATACAGAGATTAATAACACAACCACCCTGTACAAGAATGGCATACACATTTATGCAGCGTTCCTTGTATATATTAAATAATATATATGAATATATATTAAATTTTACTACGAAAAGACAAAGCCAGGAGACTTACCCATGGGCTACCAAATGTACTCTGGTCTTTTTGTTGTTGTTGTTGTTGTTGTTGTTGTTGGGATAAGGGGTTGACATAGGGTCTCAACACTGTAGCCCAGGCTGGCCTTGAACTCACCTTGATCCTCCTGCCTGAGCCCTGTAAATAGTGGACTTCCTCTCTAAACTAATCATTCTTTGAGACAGCTCAGGCTGCTGTCCTACTACTATGTATCGAAGAAAGAATTTGACATTATGGCCTGCTGGGATTGCAGGACTGTGCCATCATGCCTCAATGCTGGGATGGAACCCAGGGGTTCACGAGCTGGACAATTACAACTGAGCTACATCCTGGACTTCTTATTATTGTGTATGTGGGGTAAGAATATGGCAGAGGGGGACAGTGCACATACAGAGGTAAGAGCACAGCTCTGTGGTGTTGATTCTATCCTTCAACCTTTATGTGGGTTCCGTTTATCAAACTCAGGCTTGCAGCAGCAGCAGCAGCAACAGCAAGCACCTTTATCCACAGAACCATCTAGGTGCCCTGCCCTGGACTTCTTAACCACATTATTCCATAAGAACACAATAAGCTTCGTTCTTAGCCAACTATATATTGGTTCTTTATTTCAGTATGAACTTATAACCTAATAAAAGGAATGAATTAGCCATTGCCACAGTAACTTGGTGGAACAAACCATTCTGGACTGTAGGGGTTAGAACAAGAATCCTTTCTGGTTTTCAGCTGGCTATGTTAGTGACGCCATAAAGCTGACTGGTTTCCAACTCTCTGCAGCCCAGTTCCACCCTTTTGACTCTGTAACAGAGTCAGCAGGTACCAAAGAGAAGCTCTCCTATGAAAACAAAGACCAGCACAGCGTCAAGAAGCCTCTGCAAACAAAACAAAAAACTGTGTGTAGTGGTATATACACACCTGTAATACCTACACTCAAGAGGTAGAAACAGGAGGATCAGAAGTTTAAGATAATTCTGTGCTAAGTAGTTTAAGTCCAGCCCAGACACTATGAGACCTTGTCTCAAGAAAAGAAAAATTCCATAATAACATGGGTGTAAAATATTTAACCCAGAGAAATTTGCATTCTCAAGGAAGCTTTGAGATGCTAATGAACGCCTAATAGTTTTAGTTATTTGTAAGGTGTGTTAGGAAGGCTGGTGGTGGTACCTGATGGGACTGGAGCAAAGACAATCGTCGCTGAGCCCAAACCTACATCAGGACTGATTAATTATGCATATTTCTTCCTCTTGTAAAATTCATAGAAATCAGCGAATTCTTCCTTCTAACAGGGATTAGTACCTTAGATTAATAGGTGTCAGATCATCTCACGCACACTTTGGGAGCTACCCGATGAGAAAACTGAGACAATTTCTTCACCCACTTGCAATCCTGTGCTTTCTTTGCAGGGCTTCCTGGGTTACTTCTTATCATCACTGTTCACCAAAGACCAGTTAATCATTGGCTCTGAAGAGTATGCAGGAAAGTACTGTGGCTTAAACAATAACATTTATTTAGGGTTCTTTCTCTACTAAATACAGTTAAAATCTTCTCCTATGCTATTTAATCTCTGTGCTCACTCTGTAAAGTGAAATCTCTGGCAGGTTATGATATTTCTGGGTCTCTCGCTTATGATTTTAGGTTCACCTGTGCAGCAGACATAAGGGAGTTTTATATGAGAGCCCTTTCCCTGACACCAAGAACTGAAAAGGTACTGCTTTGGACTGATTGTCTAACAGGATCATGAAGGTAAGCCTTGTAGATTTTCTTTAACTAACCACATTCTCCTTTAAACATTATAATCATCAAAGGATTGAACTGGATTGTGAAAAGCTAGTTACTGCTGAAGGGAACTAGATGCGAATCTGTAACCTCTCAGTGGTTTGGACTTGTCCATCACCTAGAAATAATCACTTCTGCCACTGGGATGGGGAAGTCCACACTTTTCTTCACTGTTTATATGGTGTGAAATAAAAAAAATGGTTCTCTATATCTGATAGTGGTCTTGCAAATCTCACTTGATCTTGAAGCTATATAGTATACCTCAAATAGTAGTTGAAATAATTGAAACACATTTTTTATTTCTCTTCATTAAAATCCTGGAAGTTCTGGGTATAAGCAATGGCACAGAGAAACTGCCCAACTCGACCACTCTGTTCAGAAAGATTTATTGGGGATTCAAACTGCCAAGGCCATCTCTTGTGGAGGGCAGAGAGAAGAGAAAAATGGCAGAAAAGCAAACAGACAGTACATGACAGTAAGCAGGACAGGGATCTGGGTTGACACAGGCTGTGGGGATTGATTTGGATGAGGTGCCCCTGCCTGAGGTAGTTTACCTTTGGGGGAAGGTTAAGAGGAACCCACCTTTAGGCTTGTTTACCTGGCAATGATCCTTCTGTTTACCTGGACATCTTCCTTCTGTTTAGGACAATGTCAGCAGCACTGCTGTTTGGAGAGAGGGTGGCTTTGGACCTGACAGTGGGGATGTGGCTTACATCAGAGAGCTCACTTAGCATAGATGAGGTCCTAGATTTGAGCCTCAGTGCCATGAAGTCAAAATCAAATTCTAGGATGGATTGCAATTCAAAATCCTAACAGCTTCAACTGCTTTCCAGCCTTTGAGGTGGAAGCTTTGAGTTACTTGTGTGTGGAAAAGTCAGGCCAGAAGTTCTCGTGTGCTGTAGAGATGGTACTCCTGTACCCATAGTGCAACTAATGAATTTAGAAACCCTGGAGTTGGCATTGCTGAAGAACCTGTGCGTGATCTGAAGGAAGGTATGTTTTCATATCACTTTGTCTTCGTTGGGGTGTCTACTGCTGTGAGGAGACACCATCACCATAGCAACTCTTTTTTTTAAAAAAAATTTATTATGTATATAGTGTTCTGGGCACCAGATCTCATTATAGATGGGTGTGAGCCATCATGTGGTTGCTGGGAATTGAACTCAGGACCTCCAGAACAGCAGTCAGTTCTCCTAACCTCTGAGCCATCTCTCCAGCCCCACCATAGCAACTCTTATAAAGGAAAACACAAATTGGGGCTGCTTACAGTTCCAGAGGTTTAGTCCCTTATCATCATGGTGGGAGGCAGGGCAGTGTACAGGCAGACATGGTGCCAGAGAAGGAGTTGAGAGTTCTACATCTTGATCCACAGGAAAGTGTACTACAACTTTATTCATATAGCTTGAGCATTGGAGACCTCAAAGCTCATCCCCACAATGACACTGTGGTAGTTTGAAAGAAAATGGCCCCCAAAAGGAATGGCACTATTAGGAGGTGTGACTTTGTTGGAGGAAGTGAGTTGCTGTAGGGGTGGACTTTGAGGTCTCTTATGCTGAAGCTACTGCTAGTGGGACAGACCATTTCCTGTTGCCTGCATATCAAGATGTAAGGACTCTCAGCTGCTCCAGCACTATGTCTGCCTACACAGCACATCGCACCATGATGATAATGGACTAACGTCTGAAAATGTAAGACACCCCAGTTAAATGTTTTTCCTTTATAAGAGTTGCTATGGTCATAGTGTCTCCTAGAAACCCTAAGACAGAAGTTGATACCAGAGACTGGGGTATTGTTGTGATAAGGCCTGACCATGCTCTTGTTTGAAGAAATATGAACCTTGGTACTGAGGATTAGAAAAGCAGTTGAACACTTAAGAGCAGCTTAATAGGCCATACTAGTAGGAGCATGGAAGGCAGTGGTACTGAGGGTGATTTGAACTAGGGGCTGGGGTGGGGGCTAACTCTAAAGGTTTCAAAGGGGAATTAAATAATTATTAATACATGGACTATAGATCATTCTTGTGATATTTTGGTGAAAAATGTGGCTGCCTTTTACCCTTGTTCCAAGAGTCTGCCTGAGGCTCAAGTGAAGAGTTTTGGATTAATTCCATTGGCAGAGGAAATCTAGTATAGACTCTGTCGTGTGGTTATTAGTGGTTAGTCTAATGAAGACTTATAATAAAAAAGGAGAAATCTGAGCAAGAAAAAAATACAAGCTATGGAATAATTTGAGGAGAAAAGGAGCACCAGGAATGGAGTGAAGTGGAGCTAGGTCCTGTGCTCAAGGAGACAAACAGATGCAGAAGTGGAATGAAGGGAGTGGGGAACCTCGGGGCCAGAGCCCATCCAGACTACTTTCCAATTTGTGAAAAGGAATTAAAGACAAGTTTGGAGCCAGGTGTAGTGGTGCATGTCTTTAATCCCAGCACTGGAAAGGCAGAGGTGAGCAGATCTCTGAGTCTGAGGCCAGCCTATTGAAGTCAAGCTCAGCAGGTCAGAGAAACTAGAGAGGAGATGTGGATTGGTAACTACTAAACACACACACAGGAAACTTATCTGAGGGGGCAAAGCTTAATTCTTCATTTTATTTTTCTTTTATTCCTTTTATAGTACCTAAGACAAAAATTTCTATGCAAGAAAAGATTACCTCACAACCACAAGTTATGTATTTTCCAAAAACAAAATCTTTACACAGGATGAAATCACATTATGATCACAAGTCACATGCTTTTCTTGGAAGCCCACAAGTAGTTAAACATTTTCCTTTGCATTAATTTTCCCACCATCACATCTTCATCCCAAAGAATGATTCTTTTATTATTAATTATTACGTTTTAAGCAAGTCAAGCACATTTTGTCAGTCCCTTATACTAGCAGGCAGCTGTTTGTGGCTCTAGTGCACTCCCTCTATTTCTACTCTACAAGTGGTCTAGCTAACCATCTATTTTTCTTTTTTCTTTACACATACTAGGGTCATTTCATTTCTTTTCACGACTTTGTTTTTTTTAAGATGCATACCAAAACATGTGATTAATTTTGTAAGTTACACGACTAAGGAACTCAGACCTAACCGTGGGTGGTAGGGACATAATTGCTTTCTTTTCCCATCAGCCTGTTTTTTTCACAGGAAGAATTCATGGGTCTAGAATGCATGAAACTCCTTTGTTCTTATTTTCTGTCCTCAGTAAGTTTTACATCTTGCTAAAGGGGAATAACTTCTATCCTTATTTTTGTCTTTCTCATATTTCTTATTGGCCCAATTGCCAGAATTACCTAAACCTTTCCCCTAATCATCTTTACTAACTGTCCTAACTACCTAACTATCTTTAAGTCGTTGATCCAACTAAGCATCATTGCTCTTATAAAACAAATCATCACTGGGCAACTGACTTTAATTATATTAGATACAGTGGGACTCCTTCACACAGTAACCACATCATACCAAGTACAGTACGAACACAATAGCAGCAAGCAGGAGAAAGTGCAGAAAAGCAAGGGGCTTTCTGGGGATAAACCCTCTGAGGCTTTGCCTCTCCATGGTGCACCCATCATAGCTATCTGGTGGATTGTATCCCATAAGCTCTATTGCTGACTACAGCTCCTCCAATATGGCCACCATCACCAACCTGGTCTACGGAGCAAGTTCCAGAACAGTCAGGCTTAAGCAGTGAAGGAAACTTGGAAACAGAAAGCTGGTGAAGGAGTAATTGGGAGATCTCTGAGTTCAAGACCAGCCCAGTCTACAGAGCAAGTTCAGAACAGCCAAGATTAGGCAGTGAAGGAAACTATCAAAACCAGAAAGCTGGTAAAGATGTTAGTGAACAAGGGGGCCATGTTCCAGCCCCCAGTAACCAGCAGAACTTGGTAGCTTTGGCCAATGAGGTTCTGGCTTCAAAGATAGAAAAAAAGGCATTATGAAGCTTTCCTCCATGACTAAGGAAAATCACTGAGGCCAGGCATGTTTCAGGAGTGTCCCTAAACAGAGGCCTAAAGAGACTGTTGTGTGAGCTGTGAAGGTGAAGCCTGGATTGTCTTGAAGATCCCATGATGTTAGTGATGCCAGAGCCTTGGGATACCTGCCAAGGACAGCTGCTATCAGGGAGTGGCACCTGCCCCAAGAGAAAGAACTATGTTGCAGTCAACAAAGCTGAAAGGAATTAGAGATCTGAAAAGCATTTTAACATCAGACATGGAGATGCAGAGTTTGCAGTTTGCCCAGCTGGTTTTTGGTCTTGCTTTGGTCCAATATTTCCTCATTATACTCCCTTCCTATGTTTTGGAATAATATGTAATGAGAGCGTTTGGGGGACAGCCCCGAGACCCTCTCAGGGTTCAGAGAGGAAGCAGCAGCCAGTGAAGGATACGGATGTCTGAGAACAAATGAATCTCTCATACAATGCTTTTCTAATTCAGTTTCTTTATTGTTCTGCTTCTAGTCTGTCCTACCTCTTCATTCCCCCTAGCTGCTTCTTCCAGCTTCTTCTCTCTAACTTCAAAAATCTTTTTCTTCCAAGAACCTTGAAGTGATACAGAAATTACAAGAATTACCTCTCACTGGTCAAAGTCACATTCCTAGGATAAGCCATAAGGAGTTGAGCCATTGCCATGGCTACACAAGTGTTTCAAGATTTCAGGAGTAAAACTATAACCAGATGGGAGTGGGCACAGTGCCCAGTGACAAAGTTTCAGACGCAGGTCTATTGTTAGTAGGCTGGCAAGTGAAGAACTGGCATGCTTCTCTTAGGGTGCTTTGTGTAGTAATGTTGGTTGGACATCTGTGACTCTGGCCCTGTACATAGCTGTAAGGTTTTAAACTTATGATCTATTTACAAAAAGTCTTTAGTCTAGTTTAAACTTGCTTTGAGATGAAAGTGAGCTAACTGTGAGCAGTTAATCTGAGCAAAAGAACAAGGCAGGCTGTTAAGTGTCC